TTGTAGTTCTTGAAAAGGGATTTTTAAAAAACTAAATATCTCCCTTTGGAGTGGACTTTGAGATTTGTAACTTTCTAGATCTTTTTAATGCCCAAACATACACACTACACACTGACTAAAATTAAAAAAGTGTAAAAGCATAATAGGACCCCTTTAACAAAACATAAAGCACAAGACTTTGTATTAGGTTATATTGGGTATTGTAAATACTGAAATTACAGATTTAAACCATTCCCTTTTCTAAAAGCATCCACCATACTGTATTCTACTATTCCTTTCCAGAGTCTGTCCGCAGGCTGTTAGTCAATTATCTGTAGTAAAGTCAATTGAATTATTCATAGCAAAGATTTGACTCAAGAATAAACCAAATGTCACTACTTGAATGTGCTGGAGGGCATGCCAACATTTTCAGTGAATGACAGACTGTTTCAGCTGTTTTTGTCCTTACAGTGAAAGTCAATGGAGTCCCAAACAACACTGGACCCCATTGACTTTCAGTGCTTGGAAAACTGATTTTCCTTCCACAGAACCCAATACAAAATATAGTGCCTCACACATTAATCATACATAGGTGCGTAGGACAAAAGTCCAATATAAACTAGAAAAATATAAATCCTGCACACTAGTCAAACTTACATCATCACAAAAAAGATTTATGTCGGTCACTCGACCTTTCTGTTGAATAGAAGAATGGAAGTCATACAGGTTTGGAATCAAATGAGGGTGATGACAGGATTTTCTACATGAACTGTCCCTTTGAATAAGCGTAGAGCCTTTTTTAAATTCAAAAACACCCAAAGTCAAAATAACACACTTTCTCTTGCCTTTACAGACACTCGCCCTTTTGGAACACTTCAAATCCAAACTATCATCTGCGATTTCGGAGACTCCTAGTGTTCCAGAGGAAGCCGTCGAGGAACTTGGCGAGGATGACGATAAGGGCTGGTGAGTTGCTTTTTCTCGCTTCTCCATTCCTACAGAGGTTTAATGCACTAATGGACTTGCAGTTGTCTGTGATCAAATGCATTCTCAAAAACCCGTGCCTCATTGGTTGTCCCAATGCACAGCTACTGTTTCGCATTAAGGTAGCAGAGCTATTTATTTGGACTAACATAGCGAAACTTTCATACAGCTGCTTGCCTTAAGTGTGCCTGAGCCACCTCGCTCTCCAGCCAAGTAATGCGTTTGGCTCTGCAGCGCGCTGACACCATTAGAACAGTATGCAGTGTTTGTTTTTGCTGCGCTGCAATAGCCACTTGTGGAGAAGTAGTTTTCTCAGCTGACTTAACTGAGTAAATAACTGCTTCAGCAGACGGAGTGCCCAGATGGAACGTGTCACACCCACCGAACGCCAGACATGGCACGTCAACCTGCAGTCAGACGCGTGCTGTCTTTTTAACAGACGCTCATTACGAGTGCCAGCAGAACCAGCGCCCGGTGATAAACCATTGTTGGAATTTTCCATAACACCAGCATATGTTTTGGATATAGGCATGCTGGTGTCCATACCAGGCTTTTTAATCAGCATAACTAGCGAGCTGGTCAACTGGCTTCACTTTGAAGACCAGGTTTTGGTCTGTCAAGTTGTGATGGTCAACAGGATCTAGCTAGACCAAGCTAGTGTGTCGCACCCCTTAATTCATTAAACTATGTAATATTCATTAAACAATTTTTTACATGCAACTATATATTTAGTAAGATCCCATCACATCCAGCTGCCTGTGACATGACAGCTAAAATTAATTTTGTCATTGCAAACATTTCCTGGGCCAAAAATATATATATGACGTGTGAATGTTCAGTGCTTAAATCGTGTAATTTGTTTGGCTATATTTTTATCCATTAATTACTAAAACATTTTTCCTAAATGGTACCTGTGCCAGTGACTACGAAAAACATTCTAATTATTATTTTTTGTTTTTTTTATTAAACCTTTTTTTCTGGATAGTTTATGAAAATGCAAATAATGTGCAGAAAAAAGTACTTTTTTGGGATTGTTTTATTGCTGTTATTGCTGTTTTTCATATAAATGTTCATATTTTTATTTTATTTATTTTTTTTTATTGAGAAGTCATATTTTTATTTTATGGCTCAGTTATCAACACTTGTAATTTCAGTTGATGACAGAAATCCTTAAATACAATCAGGTATTAGTAAAAAGCGGCACATCTTACCCCACTCTTCCCTACTGATTGTTTTCACAATATCACTCACTACTAGGCATTGTGTCAGACATTGTTGTATGTCGTGAGCTGTAACAACTGCCTCATCTGTCTGTATGTCACTGGAGACATTCCAATCCAACAGCGTACTACGAGATTATGAAGACAGAAATGAAATAATTACCATGTCACAGCGGTACTAGATCACTAAATCACATACACCACTCACTGTGCAAATATTAAGTCTGTTCGGTTTTATTTTTGCACTCTGTTAAATATGAAGACTAAACACAGCTTAGATTTTCTTTTTGGCATCCTCTAGATTTATTTTTTTTTGGTCCTGATCTGATGGGACCGTTTCCATGTCGGGCCGAGGGTGTTATTGACAGCTGAGTTCTTTGGCCAGGATAACATTTATGATGCTGCAAAATGAATCAGGCTCCAGGGAGCATCAATCTTAATGCTGTATGTGTGGCACAAAGTTATGGCCCTGATTGTGCGCTTAAGTACATAAATAGAATATCAATTAGAAATGTTTCAGTTTGATTCTGTTTTCTCCATAATCTTCCTAGCATATGTGATGAAGATGCATGCGTTTGTAAGTACGGCCTCTGAGATGAACCCGGGTTCCTACGTGTTTCCTCAATTTTCAGGATGGACTGTCATTACTGTCTAAGGACCCCCACGATGCTGGGGCATTTTAGGCCTGACTCCGAAGAGGAGGAGAGACGGGAGGCCCCCAGTGCTAGAAAAACAGCAGTGGGAAGTCTGTACCACTTTCTGAACGCCTGTTGCACCCCACAAACGGAACATGGGTTACAACAGGTCAGACACTGGAAGTCAAGTCTGGGCCAGATTGTAAACTATTCCACCTGTGTCTGCCTCTACAAAAACCCCTTTTCGCCCAGGAGCCCAGGCCTCCGCTCCCGCTTCCCCCTCTTTTGCAAAAGCGAAAGAAAAATAAATTCAGGAAGAGGCTTCCGTGGGCCTCGGCATCATGGCGGGAGCCCCTCCCTGATAAGAGCCCCAATCAAACGGTGGGATTTTTGCGCAAGCCATAACTCTAGGCGAGGACTCCGGCGGGCTGTCATCACCGAGACTGCTAGACAAATTATCAGAGCCGGCTGCCTTACGCGACGGGAGTCCTGCGGGTCTGCCAGAGTATAGCCATGACATTCTAGATGAGCTGTCACATCTCCTACGGACTTCAGATAGACACAAGCATGCACACACTCGGCCGAACACTTAAAAATGGGCTCGCATGCACTCACAGACTCTTTATGTGTCTATTTGGCTGAATCCAGGGGTTCTGCGATGGCTCAAAAATAGCAGCGTGGCGGATTACTTACCAATGAGAGGGCTCATAATTTTAGAGAGCAGGCCGCTTCCATTCTCGGTTCCTTCATGCATTCATCTTGACTCGGACAACGGGCTCAATTTAAAAATCTGTCTTCAGCTCCTACAGTTACTTCCTGACACACTTCTGTGAAACCACCAAAACTTGCACCGTATTGAATGACAGCTGGGAGTCGTTGAATTATTGAAGCGTCCCGTCACGTCTTGTTCTTTCAAACCAGCCCTGGGCTTTGCACTGCAGATTTGGATTTGTGAAGGATAGAGTCGTTCCAGAAATTCTGACCTTCACCAGAATAGCTCCAACAGGTGTGGAATGTCAGTTCCTTTAGCATCTTTCTTTGGTTTAGATGAGACCCCAGAGAGCCATCCGGCCGTGTCCGTGATGTATAACAATGACCTGTTTCACCCTTCCTGACGTTTCTTTGAGGTTCTCTCCATGTCTTGATTCAGACAGTTTTTCTGTAGCCATCATCTCAGTATGAAATGTAGGTCAGCAGAGCAGAGGTGAGATGTGTGGATATGCACACATCTTAGTCGTCCTTCAAAAACAATGCCCTAAATATGACCTCAAACAGAATGAAAATCCATTCATCATTTACTCACATCATTCCAAACTTGTATGACCGACTTTCTTCTGTGGAACACAAAAGAAGATATTTTGAAGAATGATTCAACTGTCTTTGTCTGTATGGTGAAAGTTAATGGGGACTGTGATTGTGAATACAAAGAAAAAAATTGATGGGTTTGGAACAACATTGGAGTAATTTCTCTTTAAATATCTTAGTGTGGACTTCTGAAATCATAGAAGCCGTTAGTAGAACTACTGAGATATGACAGAACTGAAGTTCTGTGTCCTGTTGGCGTTGTGTTAACTCTGTCTTGGATTGGGCTGCAGTCTTCAGGAGTCCTTAGGATGCGACTTTAGCCAGCTGTGAGCTATTCTTTCTGATGCTGGCACTCAGGAATGCTCAGTGGATTGTGATTCTGCCTGCCAATCACCTCCAGCCCTGCCTTGAGGAGAGAGAGAAAGAGCATTACTGAAGAAATGCAATGTAGATGAGCATCTGTACTGTATTATTGAGACCATCTACATGGGGCATCGCTGTACAGGCTGAAGCTGAAGATCAGACCCTAGTCGCATGCATACAAAAATTGCAAGTACCAGTCTAACTGGTTTGCTGCTGTGCTGAATAGGTTTGTCTCAAATTATGTAATGAGATATTCAGTCAGTTAATTTGTTGAAAGATGTCTGTGCAATTTTTTGCCAAACCAATCAATCAGTCATTGGTCAGCTCAATCACAGTCACCTGTCAAGAAAAGTTCACATTTTAGTAATTTCATGCGTGGATCCGATTGTGACAAAAGATGTTCCGCCAATGCTATATTAAAGTTAAAGGGATAGTTAACCCAGAATTTAAAATTCTGTCACCATTTACTCACCCTCATGTCATTCCAAACCCATTAATAATAATAATAATAATAATTGTTATCGTACAAACTATAATAAAAATAAGTATATCAACAACAATACTACTACTACTACTGCTAATAAATTATTATAATTTATACTATTTAATTTATCTTAAAATATTATTAACTTTTTTATTAATGTTTTATATTTTATTTTTTAGTTTAGTTTAGACACCACTCACAGTGGGAGTAAATGACAGATTTTTTCATTTTTTGTATGAGTTATTTCTTTAAAGATGCTTTGAAACAGATTGTTTGCGGACTCATCCAAGTTGGAAGTTTGATCTGATCTGTTCCACCGGGAGATTCCCAGCACTTGTAACACTGATTTTGATGATTTAGTGGCCCATGAGCTGCGCTTTGCTGTTCTTTTGAACTGAACTTTGTTTCCCCTTGTGATTTAGGATGGCCCATGTTCTGCACTTTGATGAACAAACCAGAAAGGTAAAAGATGCCAATATGCAGGACGAAGACACGTTTGAGATCTATGATCCACGCAACCCCGTCAACAAGAGGAGACGAGAGGAGAGCAAAAAACTCATGAAAGAGAAGAAGGCCAGGAGGTGAGACTGCCCGTCTGGAGTGACTCCTGCCATTGAAAAAGAGGGGAACGCATTTCTAGCTGAGAATAATCATATTCACTGTGTGTGGGAGATATCTGCATACTCTTTATTGAAAAGACATTCATTTCTGTCTACTAATAATGAAGATGCTTATGAAGATGGCAAGCGTTTATTGTTTTTAACCCATAGAGGAAAGGCAACGCCATCTTCTTATTCCTCAGTGATTTTTTTGCATCTTTACCATTTGCAAAACAAACCTCTTCATGAACGTTTAATCATCCTCTCAAAATGACAGTGTAAGTTTTCATCATGTTAATAAAATGCATTATTTCTGATGTTTAAGCATTGTTGTTCACTTTGTGACCTAACTAATAAATTAATTAAATTCACAGTCAAACTGCACAGGCCAACTAATCTTAAAACTGACATCAGTCATAGTAACATAACTGAAGCCAATACAGATAGAAGGTAAGGTGGCCATTAGTTGATATAAAAGCATATAAATAAACATGCATTGATCCAATAATATCAAAAATTTAATTGCATCTATTATATAATTTAATAATTGATCATGACTAAAAATGAGCCATAATGACAATAATATATATGTTGCGGAAGCCACGCATGCATGCTCTCAGACACAGAATGTGCAAGACTGAGGAAATGCACTCTTTAAATGAAGAAAGTTGAGTTGGTATTTTCAAGTTTATTATTATCAAGTTGTTAGCATCCCCAATTGCGATTTATTATGCATATTCTGGAAAATTTGGAGAATATACTTAAAAATGTGCTTTAATGCACCTTGACTTGATTGTGTTTATTATGTGTTATATACCATAAATTAAACATTCATACATTTCATTTAAATGTAATTTAAATTTTAAATTTAATATAAATTTATATGCCATTAATCGTTTAATAGCTAATAGTTTCCGCCCCTTCTAAATGACAGACATTTATATTTAATTATTGTTTCAGTATATTTTCCGTCACATGATATGGAAATAATTTGCGCATATACATTAACATTTGTTTTTGTTATTTGCTGACATTTAAAAAAATGTAATACAATTGGTTCAATAATAATTTCTTGTGGCAGCCATAATCGTAATCTTGATTGTTAATTGTGCAGCCCTATGATGCAATGGCAGCATCTCGTATCTCTACTTCACATCATCGGCAATGATTGCCATTGTAAAAAAGCAGAAGCCGTGAAAACGTGCGAAAGCTGGATCCACTCCACATCTGCCCAGAATCGAGCAACCTCAGAGTTCAACCTGTCCATTAAATAACAGCAGTAATGCAAGACACACATGTCCCTCGTGAAGCAAACCAGTCACGCTTGACTCATCCTCCAGCCGTACTTCAAAAAATACAGTCTGAATCATAGTTTGCACAGCCATTTTTGATTCTCCAACCAAAAACGTCCCATTTGTTTAAAACTGTGGCAAGATAATAAACAGTGCCTATCGTTTTTCCTATTGGTCTCAAATTTAGTTACCAAAGAGCTGAGTCCATTGGCGCTCCTGATGATGCCGGCTGACTGTGGTTTGGTCTAAATGATCTACCACGAGTGTGCGCGACCAGCAGCTCAGTTTGGCCAGCGTGCAACCTTTTACTGCTCCTCTGGGATCACGCTTAAATTTTCATATGGAACAGGAAGGAGAGTTAATGTTACACCATAAGAGCTGCGTGGCCAAAGCCACTGCAAATTTAAACCAGGTGAGACGCACCACAGCCAGTACAGCTACTAGCACTCTGACTCGCACAACTGTGCCTCGGTCGCAGGGAGACTTTTATAAAACCGCTGGGTCTGCGACCCATAAAATGCACATAAAAAAAAATACAACTTGATATCGTGGTCTTGATATAATTCATTAAATTGTGGCCACGTTTGATTAAGTTATCCCCTTGTTTTAGGTAAATCATGGCCATTTTATACTAATTTGTTCCCTCTTTATAATTCAGTTAAAGCATGGCCATGATAATGAAGATAATAGTTAAGTCATGGGAAAAATTCTTAATGCATGAGTGGGAATCTGTAATTTCTATTGTTCATATAAATATATTTTGAAAATGACCAATAATATAGATTTAATATGAATGTGTATTTATTAAAAATGCATACTGTATGGGTTGTAATAAAGAAATACACATACATTCTTTCTGTAACCATTTATGTAACCAGTTTTAATTTAATATATCTAGATGGTTATAGAGTAGAGATTGGTTAACATTTAACATGTTTCTAAAGCCTGAGAAATGTGGCAAATAGAAGTAACAAAAGGCATATGCTGTCTTAGGTACACATTTTTAGGGCATACAGTAAGTAATAATATTTAACTGAACAACTGAAAAATTCTACTTAAAAAGGAATTTTAAGATGTATTTTACAAATATCTCATTTTTATTTGCATATCCTTTCACAAAGAACTAGGATGTGCTGTGTTGGTGCTGAGATTGGGTCTTGGTCATGCATTTGACTTTGTATTTATATTATACTTGTCATAATTTTCAGCTTAACTTCAAAATGTTAATTCACATCAGCTCTTTCACAGCTGCCTGAAGAACCCAGAAGTGACACAACTGAGCAGTACTAGAGGAATGCCATCTATACTCTAGTTTAACTCATAGATTTTTAGTTTACTTCAGATTACCATGGGTTAAAAGCAACAACATTTTGATTTTATGGGCTCTTTAAATGCATTTCATGGGAATGGGGCTAGAACAAAATTTAGCAAGAAGCACAATGTGATATAGGTATATGGTTAACTTGATGTTTAACCAGAGACTTAAAACACAATGAATTACATGAGTTTTTGTAGTGAAAGAAACATGAATATTGGCTCTTACGGTGGTGAGAAAAGACAAGACAATGTCACTCTTGCACCACGACACTGAAAAACACTTAACATTCTTACTCGTCGCTGGCCAAGATTCAAAATACCCATCATTACTGCTGGTCACATGACTGTGGGAGATTAAATGGAGCAGTAATGTCATTATCTCGCTCACTATCTGCCTCTGTCCTTGTGAATGAGCACTATAAATAGATCACGTAATCCTTTTCCCCTGGACCAGAACAAGATGAATCCTCACTGCCTTTAGGCCCTGTAGAAGCCAAGATCTTTCTGTTCTTTCCCCTTTTTTTCTTTGGCCTCTCCACTGCAGGAAAATTACTTGTCTGGTGATCTTGTTACACGTTTGGTTTCATTTGAAACTTTTGATACACTTATTTGAGGTATCCTGGTCGTTTTCTTGCTTTTCACATGGTGGGGTTTTTGAAAAATGGGGTTGTGTCCTAATTTTGTTTTGGTGGCTTAATCTGTTGGAAATGTAGCTTGATTTATTATTATTATTATTATTATTATTTATTATTTTTTTTTTTTTTATAATTCATTCCCATAACCTAATTCATTAAATTGTGGCCACATTATTTTATTCCCTTGTTTTAGGTAAATCATGGCCATGTTATACTAATTTGTTCCCTCTTCCCAACCCATACACACACACACACACACACACACATATTCATTGCTTGATATTAGAGCTGTCAATTTAATGTTTAATCAACCCTGTAAATCCTTACAAATAAAAAATATAGTTTATCAAACCTGAATCTAAAAAAATCTCAACCTTTTTTTTTAATTTTTTTTTTTTAACTATCATCAGGCTTTTATGGCTCAAATATCAGTTATAATGGCTCAGTATCTCACTATAATGTCTTAAGATATTTAAATGCTTGTGTGATCAAAGCTTTGTAGTTTCTATTATAGTTTTTTTTAATCATATAAATGCAATGATGATTGAGAGATGAACAAATAAATGTTCCTCAAAAGCCTGATGATCATATTTAATCATATTTTAACATGATTTTTATAAAAAATGATGTATGGATAATCAGATAAGTTGCTTCTGTCCAGTAAGTGTTCGTCTTGAAAGATTACTAACAATAAAAAATAAAAATAAAAAGTTGTTCTTATGTTTACTTCATATATATATATATATATATATATATATATAAAAAAAAAAAGACAAGTGTACAAATGACCCGAAGGTGGACATTTTTACAATTATACTAAAAGGCCTTTTACTTGCTGTAAAAGTAGAGACTATCAATGAGACGACAGAAATCATAGATTGTGAACAATCAGTTTTTCAGGAAAGTTTTAACTGAGCAGCCTCATAACACTGAAGGGATTCACTTGTGGAAGCCTGGGTGATATTACCCATGAATCATTTGCTCCTGACGGTAATTATGTTCATCTAAACAGGACTACAGTCTAGTCTGTGTCTCCATCCAACACGGTCTGATAACAATCAACTGAAGGGCTGTGAATTGTGTTATAGAGCATAACCGAGACTTCAGAGCGATGATTTCATCTGTCAAGCACAAGAGGTGGATGTCAGGAGGTATACATTTCTGACTGAACCTCAAGACAGTGTGAAGTAAACCATCATGTACTATTTAGCATTACCTTGGCAAATCCGGTATGTTTGCTGTCCACAATCCACATTGAAATTTAATGTAATTAAGTTTATGCTGTACTAGCTAATTCATGTTTAGTTCCACCTTTTTTTTATAGTTTTGTTCCTTTTAGATTCCGTGTTTGTAGCATAAAACAATGTACACTGTACAACAGAACTGTTATTCAGTGCTTCAAGTCACCATGAAGTCAGACCCTGTTTACTTTCTTAAAATATGTTCCTGGTGTTGATGTGCATGATTCAGTGAGTTTGTCTTTCTAATCTTTTATCAGAATTTAATATCTCGTTCTTCTTCTTCTGAAACTTTCCTTTTTGACTAACATCACCAAGACCTCTTAAAGGGGTCATATGATGCTGCTAAAAAGAACATTATTTTGTGTATTTGGTGTAATGAAATGTGTTTATGTGGTTTAAGGTTCAAAAAACACATTATTTTCCACATACTGTACATTATTGTTTCTCCTCTATGCCCCGCCTTTCTGAAA